TTTTTTTTTTTTTTTTTTTTTTTGGCTTTCCAGTAGAACAGGAAAAGGAATAATTACGGCAGCAATTTTTTAAGGCGTAAGGAGTTTAAATAGAAAATAGGTGTTTACGATTAATGAAGAGAGGAAGTTCTCTTTTATTTATTTATTTATTTTTATTTTTTATTTTTTTTTTCGGACGTTCAACTGCATACTTATTTTGATTTTTATGTTGCAAAATAAAGAAGGCCATTAACAGGTTTGAAACGCTATAAAATTTTTCCCATTTCAGTTCTGTTGTTACGTGGTTCGTTGTTGTTTTCGTCGTCGATAGCGTTGTCGTCGCCATTGACCGAATCATAGTCTTGTTTCCAGATCAATATAGAATAGCAAATAAACACATGTATTAGCACTTTTTTTTGTGAAGAACTGATGCCATGGGCACTGTTGCTGTCTTTTTCGGCCATAGTGTCACAGCAATTGGCATTGCTGGCCCTTTGAGGAGATTACAAAAACAATCAGCTAGTGGGAATCAGGTTGATTTTGATGAAATCTGCGGTAAAGTAAGGTGAAATTTGTACTCTTTTCTCAGATGGGTCAGTCTACTGAATCTGAGGAGTGTCCTTCCGTCATTTTTGTTGTTATTGTTGTTTTCGTTGTCGTTACTGCTGCTGCTGATTAACATTAAAAGTAATGACATTTGAAGGGGACAAATGAACGACAAAGATCGCTTCATTGATTGCAAAATTTTGTACAAAAAAAGTGTCGTTATTGGAAACAGGAAAATTGTAATAGTTTAGCTGAAGGAAAATCTGCTTAAAAGGGCAGGAGAATTCATGAAGAGGGCGGTCAGTGTTATGAGAAGAAAGAATGAAGCTATTTTTTTTTTTTTTGCTTCCTTTTGTACATCTTAGTTGAAAAATTGGAACAGTAAATTTACTCATTTTTACCACCTGTTTTTTAGAAGCTTCTCATCAGTTGTTCCTCTCATTTGTTTTCCTGTTACGTGTTGTAATTTTTTTTACATCATTTTTTTGTAAACGAAAATTTTTTTTCAGTTTGAAAAAAAAAACGTAAGAAACAAATTACGTTTAGCGAGCAATTATGTATACTTCTGTGACTTAAAATGATTACTGATGAGAGTTTACCAGAAACGGGACAGAACGGCAAAAAAAAAAAGGAAAGACAAGCAAAAGAAAAGGAAAGTTTTGTTTTCAGATTACGTACTTTGTCAAAAAAAAAATTTTTTTTTTGCTGTTGCTGATGTTTGCGCAATAATTGCGAAGAAAGGCAAAGAAAAGTTATTTTGAATACATAGTGCATTTTTCCTTGTTTTTGTTTTACATTTTTGGATAGCTTCCGATTGGAGTGAAGTGATCGAAGTTTTGAATATTTGAAGATCACGGTTTATGACCTGCTATGAAAATAATAAATTTTTTGACTTTTTTCTTTTAAATTTTTTTTTTTTTTTTTAAAATTATCGTAATAACGAATGAAAAATTTTTTCTGGTTGGCCGCATATTTCTGCCTGTCTTCTGTTGCTCTTATTAAAACGTTCAAATGCTTTGAGTGAGTGAAGGAAAGAAAAGCAGAAGGAAGGAAAGGAAGGAAAAATGGAAAAAAAAAACGTTGTTATGAGCTTTTAGAAATTTGCAGAATGTTGTCGTGTGGCAAAAATTCCAGATTTTTGATGTTTCTGAAAGTGGAAAAAAGGAG